GGGGGGGGTGGTGGAAGCATTGGAAAAGGCATCGGGCAGGGAGCTGTGGGGGCCCCGTGATCATGCTGGCCAGGAGGCACTTTAATGGAGAAGCCACGAGCTCAGGGGTCCACTAAGACCCCCGTTGGCTGACACATGTGTGGCCCAGGGAAAGGGCACGGCAAGTCCTGGCACAGGCCAGACTCTGGACTCCCCTCTGATCATTGTCCAGAAGCCAAGGGAATAGGAGGGACCCCAGGGTGTGCCGCACACAGAGATGGGCTCGAGGAAGGCCGTGCTTGCTCAGAAGTCAGAGGGCAGATCCAGGGCCGAAATGCAGGGCAAGGCTGGTGCCAGAGGCCTCCCCAGAGAAGAGAGAGCAGGCCTGCGGTGGATTAGGGAGATCCGGAAGGAAGTTCTAGGGCCTGCAGACTGCTCAGGGTGGCCTCCAGATCCTGCTCAGGGGGGCTGTTTGTCATTTTACTTTATTTGTGTGTGTGTGTGCGTCCTTTTAAATTTAAGCAAACCTAAGTAAATGTAAGTAAAAAGTCTAAATGCTCGTAAAGTGCAACTTGCAGATGGGGACAGAGACAGTGTCTTCCCCTGGCCCCTGTTCTCTTCCCTAGAGTTGCCGGTCCTCCCAGAGCCCCTCCGGAGATGTGAGCCCCTGGGGCGTGTGCACACCCCACTCTGAGTCCTTGCCTCCTGCTCTCTTCCCTGGCTTTCTTCCCTCCCATCTTTGTCTGGCCCCCAGGCCTCTCAGGCTGCATGGTGTTCCGTTGTGTGGATGAACCACAGGTGATTTATGGGGTTTGCAGTTTGTGCTCCTGCCCGGAGCACTGGCCCCTCCCTGCTTGCCTGTGGGTCTGGGGCACTTGTGCACAGATCCCTGTGGGGTGACTTCGTAGCTGTCCCGAAGCTGGGCCACTCGGGCCGAGGCTCCCCGCTACATATAGCCTGTGGCTCTGCCAGACCCTGGGAGATGGTCACCACTGAGCAACACAGGGTGGGGAGGGGTTGGGAGAGCCTGGAGTAAGATGCCCCTAAGGAAGTGGGGCCAGGGAGTCATCTTGAGATGATCGGATAGGTTTTGAGACCAGCACATAGCTTCAGCTCTGTTTTTGCTGGGACAGGAGGAGAAAGATCGCAAATGTAACCAGAAGATGGACGGATGCTCCTTGGGTTCCTGTGGGAAAAGCACTGGAGTCTCCTCCCCTGGGAGAGCCCGTGGGCAGAGGCCCTGCTTTCTAGCAGTGGTTGGTCTGTGGAAGTGGGCAGCTCTGTAGGCAGGCCCCCCTTGCCTGGGTCATAGAGGAGGCAGATATGGTGCAGAGCTGTCCTGTGTCTCTGTGTGGGGTGGACCCAGAGAGCTAGACTCAGCAGATCGCAGCATGGGACCAGGCCACTCAGAAAGGCGATGGTAGTGTGAGAGGAGGAATAGCATGGAGAGGAGGGAGAACAATCGTCCTGTTGTCTTCTAGACTCTCCAGGCCCCTCCTGGGAGGTTGCTTCTGTTTGAGGAACCTTCCTGCAAGGGGACAAAGACAAACCATAGGGCTGGTGACACGGCCCCATGTGGATCCTTTGAGGAGTGGTTGAGTGCCACGGGGTTCTTTAATGTAAGGTTCAAAGAGGTGAGGAGGCATTATGAGGATTGATTGCCTTAGATATTTGATGTGCTAGTTTTCTGTGGTCCCGTTGAGGGGAACTCGGGCTGATCAAATGGAGATAGATCCCAGGGAGACCGGTGTCAGCTCAGTGAAGAATTTCCCGACACTTAGAGCTCCCTTGAGAGGTGGTGAGCTCCCCATCCCGGAAGCATGCAAGCTGAGCCTGGAGAATCACTTAGGCAGGATGCTGTAAGAGAGATTCTGTCATTGCAAGGTGGGGAGAGGAATGTACTAGATAAATCTTAAGGCTCTCCTCTTGCCCCTTCTGCCCAGTTCTAACCGTAAAAGGATCCCATTCACCCTCCCTCACTCGTAGTATTTCACCAAAGTGAGAACACACAGGGTTCAGTTATCCCAGGGGAATGGGGGGCAGCAGATAGTCTGTGAGGGGTGCAGAGGAGCCCCCAGCCACGGAGGTCGAGTGGGCCACGCTGTGTTCCAGGTTCTTCGTGTGGAGGTTTGTGACCGCCTTGTATGTGACAGACATCCAGAATGACAGCTACTCCTGGCCTCTGTTCGTGTACATGGGCACCAGCTGTGTGTACCCCCTCGCGTCCAGCTGTGCACACACCTTCAGCTCCATGTCCAAGAATGCCCGGCACATCTGCTACTTCCTGGACTACGGGGCCGTCAACCTCTTCAGCCTGGGTGCGTAGGGCCCCGCGTCCTCCTCCTCTCCCTGCGACTGAGATAGCTGTGTCCCCCCCCCCCGCCCCCGGGAGCTGGGCTCACCAGAAGGCTTTGATGGGCTTGCGGAAGAGTCATGGGAATGCCATGCCTCCTCCAGGTTCCTGATGTTTGGTAAGAAACTTGTCCAGAGCTGTGCTGGCAAATATTAACTGATTCAGTGGGGACAAAAGCCCCGATCTGTGGGGTAGGCTGACCCCCAACCATGGCCAACTTCCGGCCACCAGTGGGACCTCCCTGCACATCATCACGCAGTAATTCCTCTATGCAGATAGAGGAGAGGCATTAAAGGAAAGTTATTACTTGTGTTAATGTGGTTATTTAATTGTCAGTTTAGGTAGTTGGCGGGGTTTAACAGTCGTCTTGCGAGATCTCTGAAACCTCATCCGTCTGCCATCACAGGCCAGGGTGAGCCAGCTCTGCACGTCAGGGCTGCTGTCTGTCCTGCCTGACAAAGAAGGGGGCTCATGAACCCCGCTTGTCGAGAGGCTTAGACAAGTTAGCAATGTGCTCAAAGTGCCATGGGAACCGAGGGGTGAGCCCAAAGCAGGCGCGGGTGGGTGTTGATACTTGAGCTTCCTCGTGTTTTTCCTCCAATTATGGGGCCCCCTCCTTCTGGCTCCACTTCTCTCCCCAGCTGGTGGGCATCCATTTGTCCCCAAGTCTCCCCTGCTCTGGCCTCTTCTCCCTCCTGCTCCTGCTCCAGGTGTGAAAGCAAAGGCATTGTCTTCCCTTGCCCAAGGGGTTGTCCGTGAGGATCCTGTCCCCATCCTGTTTCCTCCCCTCCCTCTCACAAGTCACACACGCATGAACACGTGCACACACATGTACACACAGATGCACATACACACGTGCTCTTGTGCACACACACACACACGGGCTTTACCGTGTCACCTCCCACTCCTCCGTGCTCTGTGTCCAGCCCCCACCATTTACTAAAGCCGCAGTTGCTGGGGCCCCCCCTGCGGACACATGGCTTCTGGGTGCTCTCGCCAGCCTCTGACGCAGGGGCCTCTCCATGCTTCCAAACCACCTCCCTTCCTCTGGTCCCTGTCACATCACTCCCGCTTCTCCTCCTGCCTGTGCATGTTCTCATTCTCTTCAGCTGGCTCCCTGCTCCGCTCCCCAGGCAGTGGGCAAGCTCAGAATCAGGCCTTGGGACTCTGCTCTCGTGTGGTCCGCGTCAGGGTGACCTCACACCATCCCCGAACACCTCTGGACCAGGCTCTCCCAAACCCATCCTAGCTTACCACTAACCTGAGATCCACGCCGTGTCCAGCCCTGTGACCGAGACTATCCACATCCGCTCCCGCTCCTGCAGTACTTCACCTGGCTCGTGGTTCCACCCCGACCTGGTCTCTTGAGTCAGAATCTGAGCCCTCGGGTTCCCCTCCCTCCCATGCCCCTGCCACCCTGTCGGGTAGTTCAGGTGAGTCTCTTCCCCATATTCCCCACATGGCTCCCCAACATGGCCTTTGCTCAGACCATCCCGCCTCCCCCCTGCACCCTGACAACAGCCTCCTCTCCGCCTCCTGGCCCTCCCCGACTGCCACCGACTCCCCTCCACCCCACCCACCAGGCTTCTCTAACACCTTCTGACCACGGCTCCCCTCCCACTTAAGACCTTTCAGGATTCCCAGTTACCCCAGATGAAGTTCGAATTCCTTAGTCTAGAGGCTTCCAGAGCCCTTGATCACCTGCCCAGACTCAGTGCCTAGATGGCACCTGAGACAGGTCACGAGGGGCGGCATCATGTAGTGCTTGCTTGTGGCCCAGCCGCCGCCACCCCTGAAATCCTGGGCGAGGTTCTTCACCTCACCAGGCCCCAATCCTCCCGTCCACAAACTTGGCATCATACCCTCCTCATGGGATGGCACGAAGATGAATTGAGTGTTGCAAGTGGAGTGCGCAGTGCCTGGCACCTAGCATCTGAGGGAGGCCATTACCACGGCTATGTCCTGAACCCTGGCATCCGTGCACTGGGATGGTGTCTCTCATAGGCGAGAATAATGAGGCACCAGGACGGGAAGTGACTCGGGTCACATGGCTTGTAAATGGCAGAGCCAGGGTTCGAACCAAAGCCCAGGGGGTCAGCCGCCACCCTGAACGGTCTCCCTTCCCGTCACTGGCTTTCTGGATTTGTAAGCGTTCCTCAGGGTCTGGTACCCTCCCATAGGCCCTTCCCCGGGATCTTCCCCTTTCCCTCCCTGCAGGTCCTTCAAGGCTGGGCCCCCAATCACGGCTTCCTCCAAGCCCTCAGACCGGGACCCCCTCTCTGAAGCTCTGGGCCCCAGTCTCATCAGTGAGCCCTTCATTTCTGCTCCTCAGAACGGCTCCCTGAGGATGGGACACCGGTCCTTCAAGTCTCGTCTTCCAGCCGGTATCCTGGTGCCTGACACAGGGGTGTTCTGGGAACAAGGAAGGAAGGTCTGGCCAGTGGAGAGGGCCTCTGGCTTCCACCTCAGACTCCCTGCCCCTTTGTCCACAGCCACCTCTCCTTCCTGTTCTCACTTCTACCCTGTGGAAACCCGCAGTCCCGAGGGTGGTGTTTGCGCCTACTTCCTCCCTGGTTTCCAGCTGTTTCTCCCTCTAGGCTGTCCTGTGCCCTTTCACTCGGTTTTGGCCTTCTTAGTCCCTCACTCAGAAAACTTCCATGGCTCCCTATGGCCTCAAGAGGATGTTTACTTTCCTTAGTCTCTATCCAAAGCTGCCTCTATTCCTGCTCCCCAGAAAGCCCTCTAAAGGGGTCTGAGCATCAGTACAATGCGTGTGGGGGTGGGGAGGCGGTCCCCCACGCCAGCCCAAGCAATTCTCCGACAGCAGCTGGGGGTCCTACAATTCCGCTCATTTCTGACACCGTCCTGGGGACTGCATCTGTTCCCACAGGTGAAGGGCTTGGTCCCACAAGACCATCTCCCCCCTTCAGATGCCAGGCGCAAGCCCAGGTTGTTACAGACTGGCTATACATCGGAGGTTCCAATGACCCTGGCTCCCAGAACTCAGAGAAACATTTTACGTACTGGATTACCAGTTGATTATAAAGGGGTAGAACTCGGGAACAGCCAGATGGAAGAGATGGACAGGGCAGGGTGTGGGGAAGGGCTCGGAGTTCAGTGTCCTCTGAGTGCGCCCCCTCTCCCTGAATCACCACGTGGTCACCAACCTGGAAGCTCTCTGAACCTCTGTTCGGGTTTTTATGGAGACTTCATTCGTCATGACTGATGAAGTCATTGGCCATTGGCAATTGATTCAACCTCCAGCCCCTCTTCCCCTCCCAGAGGTCAACCCTCCAGTCCCCTGCTTTCCAAATCACCTCATTAACATAACAAAAGACACCTTCCTTGCTCTCATGGCTTAGGAAATTCAGGGGTTTTAGGCGCTCTCTGCCAGGAACAGTGGAGAAGACCAAATGTCTATTTCTTACTAGAAGTCATTTGGCTTCTCACTGCCGTTTTGGGCAGGGTCTGGGGCTCCCCCGCTCTTGTGTTGCCCGCGGAGATTGGCGTGCACCTTGGCCCCAGCCAGCATACACAGAGCGAATGCATCCTGGTCCAGAGGGGAACCTCCCGCTCCTATCAGGCTGAGGGAGAGTCTGTCCCCCAGGAGGCGGTTCCCAGCTGAAATCCCATAGGCAGCCTGCTGATTATCAGCTCTTTCTGCCTGTGTGACCCTGGGAACACCACTTGGCTGCACCAGACTCCATCTGTCAAATGGGGTCAGAGGCAGAGCTTGAACTTGTGTGGTGGAGGCCTGCTTCAGCTTTGAGCTAGGATTCCAGCTTTCTCTGTGTCTTTGGAATAACAGGTGAGTGTAGGGGCGACCCCTGAGGCCCTGGGCGGACAGGCCTGTGGCTGTCTCTCCCAGAGGAGACCTGGTGAGGGTAGCTGGAGAGGCCTTCGGGGCCAGGCCTCCGGACACACGTGGCCCCTTTGAAAAGGACAGTGATTGCCCCTGTTCTTTCAAAGAAAAGCTGCAGCAGATGGGTCTCCCGAGGGCCCTTGGGGAACCCTCCTGTCACAGACTCCCAAACCTAAAACAGTGAAACATCAAGGCTAGCCTCTTACACCTGCCTCTCAGCTGGCCAGTCCCCCAGCCCCCTGATACCAAAGGCCTCCTCCCCTTGACAAGATCCCTCCCTCCCTGCGACGTCCGTCTTTCCACAAGGGGTGCCCCGTGTCATCGGCAGGTGAGATGTGCACACTCAGAAAAGCTGAGCACTCTGAGGTGTCATCATAGACCAGAGCTTGGGGATCAAAGGGGGGACTGTCACTGAATTGCCTCAGGTGGGAGCTTGGCTTTGCCACTTTCTAGCTGTGTGCCCCCCAGGGGGGTTGCTCACCCTCTCTGCCTCTGCATCGTCATCTGTAAATGAGGATAAGTGCAGGGTTTATGTTAGAGGGTGATTGTCAGGATTATGTGAGTTACTGAGTGTAAGGCCCTGGGGGCAATGCTGGGCTCATAGTAAATTCGCAGGGTAGGGTTTGGTAGGCAGAGAAGAGAGGTAGGACGTTCTGGGGCGGGGGCACGGGGGGAGCATGACACAAGTGACGTGCAGCGGCAGGGCTCAGCCAGACGCTGGGGTTGGGCTTCCCAAGGGTCCAGGCTACACTGCGGCCTGGCTTCTGGCCCAAGGCTGGTTTTTTCCTCTCCAGGCTCAGCCATCGCATACTCGGCCTATTCGATCCCGGACGTGATGGTGTGCACCACATTCCATGACTACTACGTGCCCCTGGCCGTGCTGAACACCATCGTCAGCACCGGCCTCTCCTGCTACTCCAGGTACCCGGCTGCTGGGCCTCAGAGGGGCGGGGGAGGACGCTCCATGGAAGGGGCTCTCGGAAGCCTGGGGCTCAGTTCCAGACCCGCTCCACGGGCACACATCCGGGACATTCGAGGGGATTCCACACTTGGCTTAACACTCTGCTGTCACTGTCTTGAACTTCATAATGATTTTTGAACAAGGGGTCCCACACTTTCCTTCTGCGCTGGGCCCTACAAATGATGTAGCTGGTCCTGTTGCGGGGCGGGTCGCTTATTTAGCCTTCTTGAACCTCAGTTTGCTCATCTGTAAAATGGGGCCCACACATCTACCCACCTTGTGAGGGGGATGTAAGGGTTGCAGGGAATGTGCCTGGCACGTCTGGCCGAGGCGGCACCCCATCGATGGGCAGTCTGCTGACAGTGACTGAGCAGGCCTGCGTCTAGACACACATGCTCCCTGGCCGATGATATTCACGTGTCTGCTGTGTCCCTGGGGAAGCCCCATGGCTGTGAGTCTCACCCACTCACACTGGCTCTAATTCCCTCTGGTTTCTCAGTTTCACTCCAGAAGGCTCATTGGAGCGTGAATCCAAGAGACATTGTTTGCGGGCTAATGACTCTAGTTTACTCAGCTCTTTGTAAAAGCGAACTGTCCAAATTTCTGCTTCCCTAAATGATTTAGAAAACCTCTCAAATGGTGGTGTTGGGGGGACAGCCCTGTCTGGATGGTGCCGGGGTGCTGGGTGCTCCCTGGGCTGGGGGGCTCTCGGGGAGGGGGGTTGGCTTAGGAAAGGGCCCATGGGAGGCTGGCAGGTTGCACCCGATCCTCTGCCCCCATCTCGATTCCGGGGAGCCAGCTGCAGTCTCCCCATTAAACCATGGTTCCCCACCCCCCAGGAAGAAATGGAGGGAGTGGGAAGTTTCTGTACCTTCTCTGCAATGACTGTGGCTCTCCCTTTCCTTGGGTGACACTAAGGTGTCGTGGGACCGAAGGTAGGCAGGTTTCACAAACTTGACAAGCTGGTTTTCTTTAAAAAATGGGAGGATAGAGATTCTTAAAGAGCATCAAGAATACTTGCCCCAACTTGTCTCCACTTGCCTGTCTTGAGACCGGTTGGGAGCGTGGAGTTGCTTTGCGTGGGAGGGCATCTCATTTCTAGGTTCAGTGTCAACAACGAGGGTTTGTTCATCCCACGAAAACAAGCCTGGGGGAGGGAGTGGGAGCTCAGCTCTCTTCCCTCTCCCTGGAAATGCAGAGCCCCCCTACAGCTGTGAGGACAGAGGGTCTGCCCACTGGGATGGAAACCGAATCAGACATCACCGGGTTGTTCTTGCCTCCTCCCCACTTCCTCAAGGACTCTTGTCGATTAGAAACTCTTTCTGGAGCTCAGCCTCTGTGCCAGGGTGGAGCTTCGAGGGCTGCACGGGTGATGGGGAGGAGGGGGTGGGGCCCTGCCTTGGGTGAGACAAGGCATAACACACACATAGAAAAGTAACCAGGTTGCCGGCAGCAGCCCAGGAGAGATGAAGCATGCCCTGGAGGCACGGGGCCCAGATGTGTGGACACACCTAGCTCTGGTCCTTGGATGAGTCACAATCCTGTCTGGTTAGCTCCTGTTGGCTGTGTAGCTGTGCTGTTTGGGTGAGCGGTGAGCACTGTGGGCTGAGGGGGCATGGAAGGCTCCATGAGTGTTGAAGTAGAAGTCCCAGAGTTCATGATCCAGGACTGTTTTCCTAAGAACCCCCCAATGCAAAGTTGCTGCCTTTTTTTTCTTTTTTCTTAAAGCTTCCTGAATCATCTGTAAGCCACCAGGGTAGATGGTTTTCTTCTAGCCAGAAGTCCATCCTGGTTGTTAATAATAAATGGGTCTTCTAGATGTAGCATGCCTGTTACCTTTGGACAAACTTATTTGACAGAGTAGGCTGGCCAGGAATCTCCTGATGCCTGTGTTTGGAGGTTTCTCTCTTGTCAATGAAATGGATTATTTCTGTTTACTTACCGGACACATCTGTTGCTATTCCATCTCTCCAACTATTCATCCAGCCACCTCCTCATTCACCATCCCCCTACCCAACCATCCATCCATCCATCCATCCATCCATCCATCCATCCATCCACCCAACCCATCCAGCCATCCATTCATCCATCTACTCATCCACGCATCCATCCACCTACTCATCCATCCATCTACTCATTCACCCATCCACTCAACCACCCATACATCTGCCTATCCATCCTCCCACCCATCTGCCTACCCATCCATTCATGCACCCATCCACCCATTCATTCATCCATTCATCCATCCAACCAACCAACCAACCAACCAACCAACCAACCAACCAACCAGCCAAACAACCAACAAGTCAACCAACCAACCAACCAACCACTCAATATTCCTTAAATGTCTGCCATACTCCAGGCATCATGTTAAGATCTGGGAATACCAGGAGGAGTGAGGCCCAGCCCTTGCCCTGAGAGAGCACCCAGGGCAGTAGTCGAAGCCGACTACAGACCCCCCAGAAGCCCAGATGGAGTCATCGTTTCCTCTAAAGGCCAAAGGAAATGGCATATAGAGTATAGCATTACAGAATGTAATGTATGCAAGTAATGATAATACAAAATGACACCCCTGCTTGGATACACAAAGTTCTGCAAAGTGGTACTAGGACTGAGTATTGAGGGAGGTTGAACACCTGAGCCGGAGAGGAGGGAAGGGCCTGTGGGACAGAGCAAACAGCGCAGAGGGCGAGGGGGCCAGAGAAGACAGCCCTGGGAGGCGGCAAGGGGCTTCCGAGTTGCCGGAGCTGCACAGCTGGAAGGAGGAGCGTGGCTAGAGAGGGTCTCCCACAGTGGCTGGGATTTGAAGTGCCTTGTGTGTCCTGCAGCGGACTGGTCCTGTGCTGGCGAAGGACAGTGATCTCTGTGGGAGGGCCATTCCACGGCCTCAGCTTCCGAGCCGAGGGGCTTCCAGGTGTGTCGCTGGCTGCCGGCCTGGGGGCTGGAGGAGGCCTGTGCTGGAATGGAAGCCGAGGGAGGGGGCCAGAGGCAGAGTGGGATGTCCCATCTGAGGGCCCTGTGCGGTCCCTTCTCGCCTGGTCCTCTTTCCTGTTTTCATCCCCTTTGTCTTCAGTGTCTGAGGAGTGAGAGGGCTGACTCCTGCACCAGGAGTGACTCGGCCCCCATTCACTTCAGGAGAACGCCCCCCCCAGGGTCCCGGATTTCACGGACTTCTGGCTTCACCTTAAACAAGGGCATCTGAGAAGATGTCTCTGGGTGTTCTACCATGCCAGGGCTTCAGAGTCTTCTCTGAGATCTCTCTCCTCGCCTTCCTTCTTCCCCAAGGCCACCCTGCCTCCGCCTCAGGCTCCATCAGTCCATGATGTGGCCAGGAGTGGCAGAGAGCTGCCATCTCCTTCCTGGAGCAAGAAGCAGAGCACAGACCTCCTGAGTGGTCTTTAGTTATTCACGTGCTTGCCAGAATATCACGGTCTAAATGGCATTCGTTCCGTTATAGTACCGAGCACTGTGGACTCCCTGGAATCTAGTTCAAATGCATGTTCCAGAAACCTGCCTGCCTTCTTCTGTAGCATTTGAGAAGGGAGATGAGAGAACGCATGACCTCAGAGCAAGGTGGGGTGACGGAGACCCTGCCTGCTCATCCCACTGGCCACCCAGAAGCCTAGGAAGGCGTCCTCACTCCCTTAGGGACGTCAGTCACCCAGAGTTTGCTGTCCATCACAAGTCACCGTAGGCACTTTATTCACTCATCCAAGGCGTCCAAAAGTGGTTTTGTTTTGACAAACAGTTGCTCGGTGAAATGTCCTGTGGTCAGTGCTGTGAGGGAGAGAGGTGACTTTTCATCCCTTGGCGGTGGGTGGTGCTGGGGCCGGGAGAGGGTTTGGAGGGCAGAGCTGGAGTCAGGAGGCTCACGGGCAGTCAGTGGTTCTCAGACACCTCTGGAGGTCGGAGGGTTCAGCCAGATGACAAAGTGCGCATTCCTGTGATGTCAGCCACGCAGTAAAACAGCCATAACCACACACCACACGCACACGATACACACAGGCGTGTGCGCGCACCCCCTCTGCAATAGAATGTTTCCAAAGGCCCACTCGTTTCAAGCGCTGGTTCCAGAATTTGCTTGCACATCCTGTCGGCTTTGTTGCAACAAGATTTATCAGGTTTTAGAACAGACTGATACTGCATTGACCCTCTCCTGGTGGAGGCTTCTGCCAAAATCCAGTGTTTCCTGCCAACCTGGTTCTAGGCAGATGAGGCCTGACTTCCCTAAACTGGTGTCTCCGCTCTGCGGTGCAGGGACTGTCTTCCCAGGTGGGGCTTCCGAGACTTGGGGGCAACCAGTGCTTTGGAGAGTTCTGTGGCTCCCGCCCCTCCTTCCTGGAATCTCTGGCTGGGGCGACACCCTGTGGCTAACTGTGGAATTGCACCTTGGTAGTGGGAGGCCCCTCTCTGTGGCTGCTAGCCCTTCCGACTTTTATTCTGTGTTGCTGTCTCTCTTCTGTTCTGCTTTTTCTCCTTTTTTTTCCCTGTAGACTCGGCTTTGCAGATGGAGAGGCTGGTTCGTTTGCCCCTGGGGAAGCACTTTATCAGGCTGGGCGAAATGTTGTCTCAAGTCACAGGAAATCCATGGTTTGGGGGATGGCCCTCGCCAGCCAGAGCCAGCTTTCTTCCTGTGTAAGTGGTCACAGAAAGAGCATGCTTTCACAGTGAGCCTCTTTGAACCCAGAAAGGATAGATGGTGGTCGTGCATGGGGAAGGAGGGAGCGGGCTTGCGGTTGGACTGGGTTGGCCAGGGTAGGCTGTGAAGGCTGTTGAGCCAGGCTCTGGCTGTGGGGGGCAGTGGGAGTGTGTCCCATTTGCTCCCTGGGGCAGAGGGGATATAGGCAAGGATGGAGGCTGGGTGGTGGTCCGAGGCCTGCTCAGCCTGCTGGAGGGGTGGGGGTGTGAAACTTGGAAGCCAGACCGCGCTGGGTATAAATCCTAGCTTCGCCTCTTATGAGCTCACCCGACTTTAGGCAAGTCACCCAGAACCTGTCTGTTCCCTCCTGGTCCTGTTTTCTGGCACAGCATAGCTGTAAGGTGGGGAAGGGGAGAGAATGAATCTCACTACACACCTTTTATTAAAAGCTGCCATTGAGCGATCATTCCTCTGTGAGGTGGGTATGCTCCTCGCAAGTATGGTTTCATCAAATCTTTGCAACAAGCCCGCGATGGGGTACAGTTGTCGTCCCTGCGTTACACGTGAGGATTTTGACATGCACAGAGGTTACATAACCTGTTGGGGTCGCATGATCACAGAGGGTTGAGGCAGGATTTGAACCCAGACTGTCCAGGTCAGACGCTGCTTATGAATCATGGCCCAGTGCCGCCTCGCCTCTCCCAGGGTTGGTGGTTTACTCCAAGGCTGGGGGTCTTGTTTGGGGGGATGATAAATTGAGGTCCCTTATTTCTCTTCCTCCTTTTCCTTCAGCTTCTCTTCCTTTGCTACCCCATGCCTGCCATGACTTAGGATGGGGTCAGGAGAGGAGAGACCTGCAGAAGTAGGCTTGAGAGATGTTGGAGCTTATCCCTGGAGGGGATAAGCTGGGGGGCTTCTCGGGACCCACAGTGGCTGCCTCTTACTCTGGAGCAGGGATCCTCGTGCTTGGCTGCCCTGAGGGCTAGGCATAACACACCAGCCTGGGGGACGTGAGGGTCCCCTGATGGCTCGGGGCGGATGCGGGAGTCTCTGCCCTGTCCCATGCCAAAGGACATGGGGAGCAGAGGGCTTTGTAGTCAGGTGACTGCACCGGCTGAGGGGCCAGGAGTAAGCTGGCCAGGGTCCGAGAGCCCGGGTTGGGTGGAGCAGCAGATCGTGTTTGGTAGGGGAAAGGGCAGGCTGTGGGCTGGGACAGGGCGTCTGGGAAACGGGTGGGGAGCAGTGGTGGGACACGACTCCATCCCCCGTGGAGAGCATGCTGAGGGGCAGGACTGTCAGGAAGGGCTGAGAGGGCCCAAGGGTCTCCATTGTCTGACTGACTGCCCTGGAACAGCCACCCCACCGGCCTTGGTGCCCTGAGTCTGCACACCACCTTCGTGGGGACCCCTGTGGGCACCGAGAGAGGACCCAGCCCTCCACAGTACACTGTGGTATTGAAGCGGGGACGTGCCCTGCCCCCCTGCCTGGGCAGCCCAGCCTGGGGCCTGAGCACTCCTTACCTGAGCCCCAGCTCAGGGCTGTGATTTTGTATGGAGATTCTCCCTGCTCCCCTCAGGTCCTGTCAGTATCCAGCCTGTCATCCGTGCTGCCCCACTCCCCACACCCCGGGCTGCCAGCCCTGCCCCAGCTGGGCCCAAGCCCGCTGAGGCCCCGTGGCGCTCCATCCCAGAGGCCCTGCAGTCAGCACCACTCATTTGAACATGGGCTTCATTTCTGGACTGGAGGCGGGTTGATGAAGAAGAGGGGAAAAGGCCACCTTTACTCGGTTTCCCCAGGCCAGTGTCCCTGGGTGTGGCACTAAGGATTCTAGAAAGTTCTTCCAAGTCGTTAAACACTTCCCTGAACCCGGGGCTTCTGCACAGCGATCAGCTGGGCAGCTCTGACTGGTTAGATCTCTCATCCTTCCCAGACTTGCTTGCCCCAGGAGACTGTGCCAGGGGGCCACCCACACCCCACACGACTCCCTGTCCTGTTGTTACTGGACTTCGCAAAGACTCCTTAGCAGCTAGATAACTTGCCTCTTGAAGGGCCTTTCCAGCCCAGGACTTCCACTCTGGCTTCGTTGGACACGATTGCTTTCTCATGATGCGGCCCCAGGAGATGGTTTCCCCTGAGGCCTTTCCACATGCTACCACTGGGGGCGGGAGCAATGGACGAGGCCGGTGGAGAAGCTGCTGGTCTCAGGAGGAGGTTGCACAAAATACTTGCCCTCGGTTACTTGTAATGTGCGTGCGTGTGTGTCATTTACTGAAACTGTTTTCATTCCAGTCTCTTCCTCCTTTTTCCTTTCCTGATTTAGGTTTCTTGAAATCCCGAAGCCCGGGCTCTGTAAGATGCTTCGTGTCCTGGCCTTTGCTTATCCCTACACCTGGGACTCCCTCCCCATCTTCTACAGGGTAAGGGCCCAGCTCCGTCTTTTCTCTGCCTGTTGGCAACACCAGGGAATCTGTTGTTTCCTGAGGTCCTGGGGGTCAGAGCACCAGGCTGGTCACTGCAAGACACGTGGGAGCTGAGACCTTCCTTAAGAGCAGGTGCAGAGTAGTGAGGAGATAGCAGGAACATAGACGCCGTGAAAACCACAGGCAACGCATCAATGGCCGGCACTGACTGGGGGCTCAGAAGTAATCATGGAGGGCTGGGTAGGGGAGGCAGCCTGGGGTTTAGTGGAGGGACAAGGAGAGTGGGCTCTGGAGGCAGATCTCTAATACGTACTCACTGTAAGACTTTGGCAAGTTATGTAGTGTCTCTGTGCCTTGATTACCCTCATCTGTAAAATGGGCATGGTAGTAACACCTCAGTCCATCAGCTGTGGGGGAGATTACAGGAGAGAACATATAAAATGCTAGCTGGTGACAAGTGTCCAATAAATGCATTATTATGTATTATCATCAATTAACATACTAGGAGCAAAGGAAAAAGTATGAAGGAGGGTCTTAAGGATAAATGGGGATTAGACAGAGAACACGAAGGAAGAGGGTGTAGGAAGGACACAAGAAGGGGGAGAGCCCAGGCACTCTCAAATCAGACAGACCTGAGTTCAAATCCCAGTCCCACTGCTCACTGGCTGTGTGACCTTAGGCAATGCACATAACCTCTCCGAGCCTCAGTTTCCTCATCCATAAAGGAGGCTAACATCCCCTCTTGCACAGGGGGGTGGAGAGGGTTCATCTGATCCGCAGATCTGAAGGGCTCAGCTGTGCCTGGCACATGGCCTGCACTGGTGAGTGGAGTTCCCCTCCCAGGGGCAGCCTGAGGCTTGATGCATGAGGCAGGGACGGAAGGGGAGGGTCAGAGCTGGCTCCACTTGTGTGGGCCCGGGGGAGACCCCCCTGACTCCTTCCTGGAGGAGAGAGAACACACATAGGAAACCAGAGCAGAGAGAACAAGCTGGTCCCATGCCCCACCCAGTCGCACAGCTGAGGTCCGCGTTATTAGGGACACCATGCGCTCCTGGCGCTTGGCTGCAGCTGACGGTGGGCAGTAGGGAGGGGAGGCCTCATCCCGAATGGTGATGTTGATGAGCGCGCAGCTCCGGCAATCAGCCTGTCTGGATCCAGATCCTGACTTCACCGCTCATTAGTGGTTCGTGTCACTCTCTGGCCCGGCTTCCTCATCTGAAAAACGGGAAGCTAGAGTCTGCCTCATGGTAATTGTTGAGGCGAGGCACTGATGAAATCCCACGAGAGAGGGGCTGGCCCAGTGCCCCAGGTTAGTGACCGCTGCTGTCGCTATTCATAATGGTAACACAACAACTAGGCTTAGCTCTCAAACAGCATCATGGCCGTAATTAATACATTTGATGACTCAGAAGGCCTTCCAGGGATTTCAGGGCCTTAAAGCCTTAACTAGGAACATGAAACCAGGCGGTGCACTGGTAAGAAGTGAGTTCAAGGGTGAATAGACCACTTTTTACTATACTTACATTTTGCCCCCAGACAGTAGAGTAGCAATAGGTCTAATAGGATTTTTCTTTTCTTTCACTCCTTTCCTTTTCTTTTGTACTCTAAATAACCCAAAAGGCTTTATGAGCATTTGGAGGATTAAAATACAGTTGCCCTCGTTCTCAGATGATCACCGTCAGGATGGGAATTCTGCTCACACAGTCCCTGAGTTCCTTTCCAAGCCACAGACCTGAGGAGGTGAGGGCCTTGGCCTATGACGACCACACGTGTGCGCAGAGATGTCTTCAGGCGATGAGAAGGGAGAGGGCCTCCCCTCAAGACCTGATGTTTCTCTAACTGCCTGCAGCTGTTCCTGCTCCCCGGGGAGAGTGTGCAGAATGAAGCCGTCCTGAACCACCAGAAGCACATGGCCATGACCCTCCTGGCCTCTTTCTTCTACTCCGCGCACCTGCCAGAGCGCCTGGCACCTGGACGCTTCGACTACATCGGTGAGTGTGCGGGAGCCCTGTTGCCTGGTGTCCTCCAACTCAGAGAGAGCCCCCCGCCGACACCAGTGTGTACAGTGTGAAGGGGAAGCAGGGGCAGAGAGAGAAGTGGTTCCTCAGGAGCTTCTCTAGGAGCAGGCCAAGGGGAGTGGAACTGGAGGCCGGGATGTATGCAGCCAGCAGATGGCAGGGGATGGTGGGGGAGGATGGAGAGCAGGTGGATCTAGGATTCTAAGGCATTCCCATGGGTTATGGGGCCCGGGGAGTGCCATTATTACCCAGAACATGAAATCCCATTATTAAACAGACATTGAGGGCAGCCCAGGAGAGGAACAGGACAGACAGAGTGCAGTTGGCTCTGAGGCGACCAGATGACAGGGGCCGTGCTGAGGGGAGAGTGTCTTTCGTGTTCAGGTGGGTGCAGTGGGGCCAGGAGTCTTGGTAGAACAGTGGTTCTCAGGTCTGGCCCCCAGACCACCAGTTTCAGCAGCATCTGGGAACATGCAGATTCTCAGGCCCCACCCCAGATATCCCACACCAGAGGCTTGAGGCCGGGGGCCCAGCACTCACTCAGGCTGTGTGACTCTCCAGGGGAACCTGAGCTCACTACAGTGAGAGAAGTGATGTGGTGGGGGAGGGGCCGTCTGAGCCACGGGACCTCCACTTGCTGGGAGAGTTCCTTCCCTCCCTGTCTAGGGAAGCGGGGTGGGCACCGGCTGGAGGAGGCACCCTTGGGCCACTTCTGGTGAGGCTGATGAGTCCGGGGATGAGCGTTCCTTAGATAAGCTATCGTGGGCATCCAAGGGTCAGTCCCTGTCCTTAAATGGTGGGCAGGGACCTTGGTTCTCCCCAAACCCATTTTGCCCGGTGATTTTCCATCTCCTCCCACCTGAGACGTGGCCAGATTTGCTTTGTGGACTCTGATAAGAGCTTCATCTCCTTCACTTACTCTCTCCTACCAGAAGGGATTGCAAAGACCAAAAGACTTGGAGGGCAGGTTCCCCAAAAAAGGAGGGAGACAAGAAGACCTGGTAACTGGAACCTGCTTGCAGGAGCCACGTCCACCCCCAGCCCCGCCTCGATGAAGCAGAGGTGGTTGTATATGAAGTCTGGGGGCTGCAGGAAAAGTAGCCCTGGGCCTTGTTTTGCCACCTCCCTGGTTGTTTCATTCAATCACCTTAGTCCCATCCTCTTGGGTCTCGGGGTGCAGAGCAAAAAGACACCCCTATAATGGGACATTTGCCAGACAATTGTTAATGACAGATCATCAACAAGGGGTTTGGAAAATTCTCTGTCCTGCATTAATGGAGCCTGCCAGTCGTGGGCCTCCCTCTGCAGTGCGGGCCAAAGTGCTTAGTGGTGAGGCGCTGGCCCCTAGGAAGCTCTTCCACATTCCTGTCGGGCTGGAGTGCTGACATCACTTTTCAGATATATCCTGTGGCCATGGCGTTTTCGGTCTTTTTATCTCCTGCTCTGATGCAGACAGGTTTGAGCCTTGGTGAGCTCAGCTAGTCACCTCTCTCTGCTTGGAGATGTGTCCTTGGAGAGCAGGGCTCTCTGCTGGACGAGAAGCCACTTTGCTGCACCCCAAATGGATTTGGCAATCCTACACAGCCCCTGAGTATATAGCCTGAGCGAGGCAGGGGCGGCTCGTCCGGGCACACCTTCTTGCCCAGGGGACACAGCCTGGGGGGCCAGCAGGAGCTGTGGTAAGGAGCTCGGGCCACCCACCTGAGAGGGCTCTCGCTCCCACACTCCCATTCCCGACTCTGCTTCTGCTCCCGAGTGCACGTGCCCAGGATGTCCCCTTCCTGGGACACGGTTATTGAATACTTCCTCCGGGATAAGTCCTGGGGGTATAACCTCTCTCTCTCTCTTTTTACTGAAAGAATCCTTTTTGAACTCTTGTGTTGTATTCGGGTGCTAGGACCGCCCTAACAAAGAATCACAGACTGGGGGGCTTACGCAGCAGAAATGCATTTTCTCAGGATTTTGGAGGCCGGGAGGCTGAGACCAAGGTGGGGGCCGGCTTGGGCTCTCCCGAGGCCTCTCTCCCTGGCTTGTGGACGGCCCTCTTCTCTGTCTCCCCTCACATGGTCTTTCCTCTGTGTACGTGCCTGCCCAGACCCTTACCTCCTCTTCTTAGAGGGACACCAGTCACCAGAGGTCCAATCTAGTGACCTCATTTTAATGTAATTGTCTTTTTAAAAGATCCTATCTCCAAATACGGTCACATTCTGAGGTATGGGGGGGGGGGGTTGGGACATTGACCTTCGGACCTGGGGGCAGGGAGACACAAGTCAGTCCATGACACGTGCTGTCTGTGCTGTCTTCTCATCTTCTGGTCTCTGAGGTTTGTCCCGCACACAGTCCTCAGCCCAGGGCAATGGACTCCTTTTCTCACCACTACCAACTCAGTCCATCCCTGCCCACCCCCACCCCTGCCCCCTCTGCTGGCTCCTCCCCTCTGTGCACTCACAGCTGGCCAGCCAGGGTCCGGCAGGTCATGGGGAGGAAGAGCTCCCGGTCATGTCTGGGATTAACCGGCAGGTGAGAGAGGACCACCTCAAAAGTGGCCAGCAGAAAGTCTGGGGGCTTCTCCGTTGGCACTGAAGTCAGAATCGGAGCCGATGAGTGCTGGCCCTGAAGAGGTGACCTCTGGCAGAACGTGGTGCCAGACCTCTTTACGTGAAATACAGGACTGGTGGATAAGGTGTTTGAAACATGGACTTGGTTTGCTCAGATGGCCTTTTTATTTTTCCTCACACCGCATTTTAAAAATAAACGTACTGAGGCATACTTTACATACCAAACAAGTCCCTAATTTCAAGTGTACAATTCAGCGATACTTTTAGCGGACTTACCAACTTGCACGATCATCCCCATAAATGAGTTTTGGAACATTATCATCACCCCGGTAAGATCCCTCATGTCCATGTACTGTTAGTCCCAATTCCGACCCCCTGTCTGAAGCAACCACTAATCTACCTCATGTCTGTGGATTGGCCTTTTCTGGATGTGTGATATAGACGGAATCTCTCAATATGTGGTCTCTTGTGCCTGGCTTCTTTCACCCAGCATAATGTGTCTGGCCAGTAGGCCACAATTATAGTATCAACAGTCTGTTCCTTTTTTATTGCTGATCTTGGTGGCCTTTTCTGTGTTTGCCTTAGGTCACAGTCACCAGCTGTTCCATGTGTGTGTGATCCTGGCCACTCACATGCAGATGGAAGCCATACTTCTGGACAAGACTCTGAGGAAGGAATGGCTCCTGGCCCACTCCAGGCTCCTGTCTTTCCCTCAGATAACTGGAGCCATCCTTCTGTGCCTCATCTTCAGCCTCAGCAACATAATTTATTTCTCAGCTGCTCTGTATCGGATTCCTGAGCCAGAATTACATAAAAAAGAAACATGATTCAGACCATATGCTTCTTGTGCCAGATGTCAACCTTAAGCTACAACATCCTAACCACCATAAGCCAGCAGCAGGGTACCCGTTTCCAAAGGTCTAAAGTATTCACAATGGCTGATGTCTTGGCATTTTTGAGTGGGTTCATGTCAATAAGATATTGAACTGGGGAAATTTCTCTAGAGGTGCACTGATTCTGTATTATGATTTTAAAAGGGGAAGATTCTTAATATTTCATTAAGTTTTAAATTGATTTAAAATGGGTTTTTCAATTCTATTTAAACAGTTGGATTAAGCATACCACCCTTGTATTGTAGCTTGACTATTAAACACTTGAACGAAGCTTTACCACCCTTGTAGTATTACCCTTTGCAAATGGAACTTGCTTCATTTGATGAGTTCCACCTAGCATTGCCTCTGCTGAGAGCTCCACAGTGGGAGGGGAACGAGCCAGGAAGACCAGGGTAAGGAACCTGAGTAAGAGGAAGTGGGGTCTGTGGGAGCTCTAGGGACAGGGCAAACACTCCAGAATGGAGAGACCTGGTTTGGGGAAGGGTCTTCTTCCTTTCCCCACCTAGTAAGGGAATGAATAGAAAGGGTCCTCTTTCCCACAAGTCCGTTCTGCCTTAAAGTGCCAATTCCCATGTCATGTGGATTTGGATCTTCTTAAAGGTCCACATGGCTGGGTGTCCATGTTGTGTTTTTTCTGTTTTCTTGTTGCCAGTTTGATGCACAGTATTGTGTAGTACAGGTCCATTGTGTTATGGGTGGGGACTGGCTGACTTAAGCCCAGTTGGCGGTGTTCATCCGTCACCTTTTAAACCAGCGGCAGCACGATATTTGGGGATATTATAAATTTGATGCCACTTCAGCATTTTAAATGCTGCAGATGTTACTGTCATGTGCAGAGGATGCTAAGACCTTGCTAAAGTGTTGGTCAACTGTAGTGATTCTCGAGCTTTACCGTGAATCAGAAACACTTGGTGGGTTTGTGACAAATGCAGATTTCCAGGCAAAGTCAGGAGATTCTGCATTTGTACATGGTTTAAAATGTAGGTCTTTTAGAGGAGATTTGCCCTAAATCTGAGCAAGTCCCCAGGTGATTCTAATGCAGAAGGGCCCCAGGCCAAACTTGAAGAGATGCTTTCCTCACGAATTCCAGAAGGCACTGGGCCTATCAGCTTTGCTGGGATTGACCTAGTTTTCAGCAATTTACCACCTAAGGATGTTTCCCCTGCTTTCTACTCTGCATGAGACTGAGCATTTTCTCATCTTTTGCACTGGGAGTTAAAGTTTAGTATTTCATGGTGTTTTCAGAGAGTACAGAAATGCTGATGCAAAACAGTTTTTAACAGAGGCCCATCAACCCCTGATCTGCACTTGCTAATGACTTAAGGGGCTGTCCATCACAAAGCAGGATCTTCTTTGCTGACTCAGGAACACCCCCATATCTTAGAATACAGCCTCTATGGTTAACTGGCCCAGAAACCCAAATGGCCTTGTGAATAGCTCATCGTCCAATCCTCTAAGGACAAGTAAAAATTTATATTGGATGAGAGTGGTCAAGAAATATGATTTCATTAGTTTTATTATCTGTTTACTTCCTCTGGGGAAGGTAGACTGATAAAATTATATGGGCTGGTAAATTTTTGTTACATTAATTGCTGTTGGATGACAAAATTTTGTTTTTGGCAATGATCTGACACTGTTAGTGGAATTTTACTCCAGCAGGGTCTGTGGGCTTCCATTTCATCTTGCTGTCACTGCAATTTTATGCTGAGAAGTACAAAGTTTAAATACCCTATTCTAGTAATGCCAAAGACATGAAGCTTTTTTAATATCTCTTATTTAGAGAGAGTAAAATAATGTTCTTTGTTTAGCTCAGAAATAGTTGAAAGGTAATAGGTGATTCATTTGAAGGACCTTTAGATTATTTAATTTTTGGTTATGTGGCTTTTTCATCATACTGCATGATGGAAAAGAAATGTTAAATCTACAAAATAGGAGCAGTGTTTCATAATGTTTTTAGATGTTTGGTAAACTTAGTCCCATGGTATACTTTTGGACAGTGTTACAAGTTGAAATTTGAGAACAGTTCCAATATACTGATTTGGAAGCTTCTAGATGTGGAAAATGGGTTCACATATATTAATTACAGTTAGGTATTAAGAGTAATGGGGGTAGAGTTTTGCGTAAGCCATCCCAGAAAGTCAAAAAGGCTGGCATTGGTTGAGCTGAAGACCTCACTGGGAAGAGGTCTTTTCATGTAGCGGCTCTCAGAGTTTTTTGAGTGTCTCAATTCGCCCTGGAGATACTTAAAGTGCCTTAAAGTACCAATGGTACTTTGGTAGGGACTGCTTGCCACGGCACTGCCTCAAAAGGGATTTTGTGGGGAGCAACAGACACCTGATGGGATGTCCCCCCGTTCTTCCTCCCCTGGCTTGAGAAACACTACTCCAAAATTTCCCAGTTGCTACAGTTGGGATAAAACTTGAATGTGTTTGAATGAGGTCATGTAGTCAACTTCACCTTCCTCCGCTCATCTTAAGAGTTTCACTTTCCATTGCTCAGTTTTGGAGAGAAAGGAATTTGTCACTGTGGATTAGAATGAGAAGTGGGAGGTTTTAGAAATCATCTGAGTACAAAGTGGTCTAAATATTTGGTCTGCTGTAGTCTTTCTCAAAGTGCTTGTTGTGGAACCCAGTTCATGTGAGAAGTTCTAAGGAAGGCAACGTGGAAAAGAATGGTGAGGTCACATGTGTTGGAGAGACGCTTCATTTGGCTCTGTTGTGTCCCAAATTTGTTTTGGCCATGGCACTATATGAAACAGCTATTAACACTGTATGACAACACTTTATAACATTAGTTGAATGCCAGCCTCTGATTTTCTAGCCAACGATGCATCATGGACGAAAAGGCAAAGACCCATTTCCAAACTCAGATGTTCTTCCAACTTACAGCAATGTCTGGTTTTCTTAAATTGTGTGGGAGAAAGAAAATAAAATTTATTTATTACAATAAAGATCTATTTCCCACTTGATTTGGTTATGTTTCACCTATCACTGCAAACGTGTTCGTTCGTCGTAAGAAATTCCTATACACGTGTGCATTGCTAAATCATTCTGTGAATATTTATTTTGTGCCTGATATATATAGAATGAACACTGTTTTAGGGGCTGGGGATAAGAGAAGTGAGGAAAACCCACCTCACTTGTGTGGAGGAAATGTGCTGATTGTCAGTAGGAAAAGATCGATCAGTTCAGATAGTGGTGAGTACTCTAAAGGAAATAAGCCTGGAGGAGAAATGCAGGTGGGAGGGACAGGGCAGGTGAGATTGGACGGCCACTCTGAGAAGCTGACATTTGAGGAGAGCCTTGATGGGCAAAAAAGGGCCCACTTTGCCAGCATGTTGCGGGGCAGGTGTTTTGGGTCGAGGTGGCATATGCAAAGGCCCCAAGACCAGTAAGTACTCGTCCTGTTGGAAGGATGGAAATCAAGCCACTCGTTCCAAAATGTGTAACTCTAGAAAATGTATGGATCATTTGACTTTTGAAGAATTGTGGAATTTCTCCTGGATATTCTCCCCGGGAGATTGTGCAGGGGGCTTTCCTCTGTCCTCTTGGTACTTGTATGAATGCTTCAACTCTCTAATACATGTATTTCAGACAAAGAGAGAGTTGCCACACCCATTCTCTTCACTCGGGGCAACAGATTTCTAAAATTGGCTTAATTCTTGCCTCCTCTAAAGCATGGAACAAGGAACCTCCAAGATAATTTAATCCAGCCTTTCAAAAATGTGTTTGATGATGTAAAATGCACATTGTCAGGCCCAAATGGACAGATGCAGAAAACCTTGGGCGGGAAAAGTAGTCCTAGAGTTTTAAATTTTTATCAAAAGCCCCAAGTGATTTTTAATATAAGGGAGTTTAAGAAACACTGGTCTGGTCCAACCATTCTTTTTTTTTCACATCTGGAAAAAATAGTAGGAAGAATTCCCAGGTACTGGGGTGTCTGGCTGGCTCAGTTGATAGACCGCAATTCTTGATCTCAGGGTTGTAGTTTTGAGTCCCATGTTGAGGGTAGAGATTACTTAAAAATAAGATCTTAAAAAAAGAAAAAGAGACTTCTCAGGCACTTTTCATCCTTCCCCCTTTTGCAATGTATGTAACTCTCTTCTTCTCCAACAGTGAGAAACGTGGCTCCCATTATCCACAATGTATTATTTGCTCAATCTTAGAATGTACAGACTGTCATTTCAGAATTACCAACTCATGTCTGCAAAAAGGCTTACTAATTAGAATTCAATATATGTTTCAAGTTCTTTTTGTCTTGAGCCTGAGGGCATATGGTCTCAAGAGTTTAAATTACTTGTGTTAGTTATGGCCCATTTATGTGTATGTTACTCATTTGAAATACGGTTCAGATCATTTGTTTCTTTTTTTGTATCAATTTTACAACCTCCCTCCCCCCTCCCCCCAGCTTGCTGATTTTATTGTATTTTGAGTCTGTAAAACATTAACATCCAGTCATTCATTTTCAGATGGCCTGGGGCAAGTCACATGGCCGTGGATGTGAGACAATGCTGCAGCCACTGGGAGTGAACAGCAGGGCCACGAGAGAGCGCCCCAGTGTTGAGTGTGTTGAAAATGCCACAGGTGTCCCTCTCTTCATTGTACCACCTTCCCTCCAACACTCTAGGCTTTGGCAGTTTCTGGTCACTAGTGGTTATACGGTTCCACAGTTGGACTCACGTAGCTGGGTGTTTGAGTTAATTACGGTTTCCACCCGGTGACTTCAGCGTCTCCCCTGTGATTTGCATAGAACCCTCCCCGTCCAGTTTGGCAGTTTCTTATCAAGTCCAACTTACACTTACGATGAGACCAGAAATCCCACCCAAGAGAAATGAAAATCACTATCTACTTAAAGACCTTTACGCAAATAATTAGACCACAATTGCCAAAGGGTGGAAAGAACCTAAATGTCCATCAGCTAGTGGATGGATAAACTGTCATGTATTCATACAAGGGATTACTACTCAGCAGTAAAAAGGGAACATGTTACTGATACGTGCAACGCATGCGTGAATCTCAAAAGCATTTTGCCCAGCTAGAGAAGAGGCCTTCTGGAAAAGAGAAAACTCTAAGGGAGGAAGTCAGAAAAGTGGTTGCCAAGGGCTGGGGGTAGAGGAAGGTGACTGACCACAAAGAGGCAGCACAAAGAAAGTTTTGGAGTGGTGGGGGTATTACACATCTGATAGTGGCGGTGGCTATTGGATGCTCTGTTTGTCAAATACATAACATACACAGTACAACCGAGAAGGGTGGATTTTACTGGACGTAAATTATACT